CTAAAAGCATCTATTATTTCAGTAATTTACGTGTATACCATTTCCAATAGAACATTCTGCAATGTGTGTGGCTATTTAGCACTTCAAACCTGGATAGTATGAATAAACAACTGAGTTTTTTCATTTAAATAGGCTGGGATGGAAGTGGTGCTGTTGCTCAAGTGACAGAGTATTTGCTGTGAGCTGAAACAGCTCAGGGACAGTGCCCAGGTCCAGACTTCAAGCCCCATGACCAACAAAAAATAAATGAATAAAAAAAAAATAGGCTGTGATGCCAGTGATACCATAGGAACAAAACAACTCTGTAGAAACATAAAATAGCTTTCCAATGTTAAAATAAGCATTTCCAGAAACAAAATGACATTTTCTTAGCCATAGCTTTCACTCTTGTATATGGGATAGTAAAATATAAAAATAAGAGCTAACAACTTGGAGAAGCAAAACCCTCTGGAACAAAGCTTATTTGTTGTGCTGTGAGGTCTCCAAAAGAATGTCAATGACATATACCAAGTGGTACATTAATCCCCATTAATAAAGCCAAATAAGATCACTTTTTAAGAGTACAGTTCACCTTTATTAGGTGTTGACTTCCAGCACACTTTCTCTTCCCCTCCTGCAATTCTGGGAATTGAGCTGCACTCACAGCTTTTGCCTTTATTCTGTTTGTGAGTGTCTAACTAGCTTTGTCCAGGCTATCCTAGAATTCCCTACCTACTCCTTTTAAGTGATACTGGAGTTTGAAGTTAGTTTGAAGCCCTCTAACACTTGAACACTTTCAGCCCTTGGTTTAGAACTCTCAAACCACTACTTCTACATCCCAAGTAGCTTCAATTACAGGTGTGCCTGACCATAACTGGCACATCTCTATTTTTAAGGGTGACCTCAATATGAAATATGTCACTTGGAATAGAGACCTGCAATCCACGAAATATAAACTACTGAAGGAAATACCCATGAGAAAAGTTAACCAGTACAACAAAAAAAACTCAATACAACAACAACAAGAAAAAACTATAATAGGAAGTTTATAATTAAAAGCCAGAGAACAAGAAAAGACATTTAGAAAAGGCTTGCTGGCCAGAATTGGTTTGAGGTCTCACAGAAGAGGAAGAATAGTATTGAGGTCTTTCAGGACTGGAAGATTTGATCTCAGTGGGATGAGGCAGGAAACTGAGACAATGAAGAAGATTCAGGAAGGAGATTAATCAGAGTTTAATTGTGAAAGGCTTTAAATAAGGAGCTTGGATGTGATCCTACTGAGTAAACAGTGAGGAGTCACAGAAAGTTAGAGAAAAGTGACAACTAAGGTGGTAAACAAAGTAATTATTGATTCACAGCAAGCATCTGGGGCTTAAGGTGATCAGAATATTGCTACTACAATGATGGGTGTGAGGTACTTCTAACCTGGGCAAGGCTCACAACACAGCCAAAACAAAAGAAGCAAAGATAACACCAGGTGACATGCGCTCACAGCAGAGTTTTGTGCCAAGCACAGACAAGGACAGGAGAAAGATTTAAAGGGTAGCATAGAGAGAAGGGCAAGGAAAGTTTGCCTTGGGAGGGATGAATGAGTTAGACCTTGAAGAAAAACAAACAAGGGCTTGCTTACCAGGCACAGAAAAACATACTAACAAAAGCCTTTAGGAAATATATCCTATTGTGAAGACCAGTTTTATGAAATTAAAAGGTGCTAAGATTAAAGCATACAAACATAGAAAAAAATCAAATGCCAAGGACCAGTGGTTCACACCTATAATCCTAGCTACTATGGAGGCTGAGATATGAGTAATCAAGGTTCAAAGGCAGCTCAAACAAATAAATCTTTGGGACTCTTCAATTAATCAATAAAAAGTCAGAAATTGAGATAGTAAAGTGCTGTCCAGGATCAAGAAACTCAAATGAGAGAGGCTTTTGAGTTCAAGTCCCAGTATAGCACACACATGCACACATACAAAACAATGTTCTTGTGCCAGGCAACAGTGGCTCATGCCTATAATTCTAGCTACTCAAGAGGCAGAGATCTGACAATTGCCATTCAGAGACAGCCCAGGCAGGAAAGTCTGTAGGACTCTTATCTCCAATAAACTACCCCCCCAAAAGGTGGAAGTGGTACTGTAGATCAAGTGAATAAGCACTAACCGTGAGCAAAAGCAGCTCAAGAGCAGGGCAACAGTGGCTCACACCTGTAATCCTAGCTACTCAGGAAACTGAGATCTGAGGATCTCTCAGGGACAGGGCCCAGGCCTTGAGGTCAAGCCCCAGGACACCCACAAAAAGTTATTATATAGCTACTGTTTTAGAATTGCTTTATGATGGCTTATGGAAATGGAATGAACACTTATTTCAGATATAGTTTTAGGAGACTCAAGTATTGACACTAAAAATATTAGAAGCAACATAAGCAATGCACAACAAAGTTGTATTTTGGTGTTTTTCTTTTTTTTTCTTTTTTTTCCTTCTGCTAGTCCTGGACCTTGAACTTTGGGCCTGGGTCCTGTCCTTGAGCTTCTTTTGCTCAAGGCTAATGCTCTACCACTAGAGCCATAGCACCATTTCCAGCTTTTTCTGAGTAGTTTATTGGAAATAAAAATCTCACAGACTTTCCTGCCTAGGATGGCTTTGAACAGTGATCCTCAAATCTCAGCCTCCTGAAAGGCTGGAATTACAGGTGTGAGTCACCAGCTCCCAGCTTACAAAAAAAATAAATAAATAAAACCAATTAAAATTTTTTATTTATTTTTGGTTAGTCCTGGGCCTGAACTGGGCCTGGGCTCTGTCCCTCAGCTCTTCAGCTCAAGGCTAGCACCCTACCACTTGAGCTACAGTGCCACTTCTGGTTTCCTGGTGGCTTGTTGGAGATAAGAGTTTCATGGAGTTTCCTGCCTGGGCTGGCTTTGAACCAAGATCCTCAGATCTCAGCCTTCTGAGTAGCTAGGATTACAGGTGTGCACCACCAGCACCTGACCAAATTTCTTGACTTAACACTTATAATATCTATGAAGTACCTAATGTCAATGACAAGTGTTAGTATTTTAGTAACAGTTTTCCTTCAGAAAAGCATTGTGTACTTTAAATTACATTTACTCTAAAAATCTAAATACTCTGACTAAATCTAAATACTACAAACTCACAAAAGGCAAAGATATTAGAAGTTTATTTAATACAAAGTGTGGCCCAGCTGGTCTTAGTGCTTGATAGCTGCCTGCTCAGTTTTAGAAAGAGTATTATGTAAATGTATCTCAGTATGGCTATAATCCAGACAATTAAGGTTACAAGAAATATGAATGCTGGGCTGGGAAGGTGGCTCAGTGGTAGAGCGCTTGCCTTGCATGCCAGAGGCCCTGGGTTCGATTCCTCAGCACCACATAAGCAAAAAACAAAAAAGCCAGGAGTGGCACTGTGGCTCAAGTGGTAGAGTGCTAGCCTTGAGCTGAAGAGCTGAGGGACAGTGCCCAGGCCCAGAGTTCAGGCCCCACGACCGGACCAAAAAAAAAAAAAAGAAATATGAATGTTTAAATTTTTTTAATTAATGTCCTTACTAGGGCATTTGATAGAATGAACTATCTAGAAAACTGTGTTAGAAAGGCAGTTTTTTTTTAAAGGAAAATTTAGGGTTTTTTTTTTATAGAAACATGTGACACAGGTCAAACTATTTCACAAAGGCAATTAACAAAAGGACAGAAGATGAGTGTTAGGCAGAGATTATTTGAATTTTAAGTGAAGGTGTTGCAAAACATCTTGTTATTCAAAATTCATTCATTTATCTTAGAAATACTAGAGTTCAAGATTAAGTCAAATGGAAAAACTAAAATCTCTGCTGCTGAGGAGCTTGGGCAAGAATCACTTTTCCATGGACATGACATACTCATATTACAAGTATCATAGGATACTGGATTTGTGGATTTATATTTCATCTATGGAGAATTGTATTTAATATCTGAACAATATTTTGAAAGACTGACACTTGCCAATATGCTATAGACTTCAAACTAACAGTTTTTCATCTACTTACAGTTTCAGTTAGATATTTAACATTTCCAGTTCTTGTGTAAGTCCATGCACTTTCTGATTCCTATTTCAATGCCTTTTTTCTTCTTTTTGGTCTAGGTGGGAGAACTCAGTATCTGATGCTTTGGCTGATGAGCTAGCACTCTACAAATGAGCCACACCTCCAAACCCTCAGTGCCTTAAGTGGGCTTTGCTTCTTATTTGGTCACTGACAAACTGACAATAAGAAAATTCCCTTCACTGTGTTAGTTTTGAATCAAGGTAAGATTCAATGAGGTCATTTATTCTAGCAGATGTCACAAGAGATTTTCAAAACATTCTTCTATTCATAACAATGGAAGGGAATATTTTCAGTAAGTTTAGACTTAACAAAGACACATAAATTACACAGAGAACAAAAGAAAAACACAAAACACAACAACCCAAAGTTCTGCTATAAGAAAATGAAAATAAGAACTTACCAAAATGGCAAGTCTTGAGGCATAAATTATAGTTTCTTACAAATAATGTGTCTTCATTGTGATTATTCTACATGGGCTATTTGTTTAAATGTTTCAAGAGATATAACCAAATAATCAAGTTAATGTCTAAAACTTGTTTTGAAATCACTATTATCACAACTTTTCACAAGCATATCTTTTAAGAAAGCCAACATATCTCTCTAGATTTGGATAGTTTACCAAGCAACCTAATTATTTTGCAGCTAATTATTAACACTTATAGAACAATTTTTAATGTTTATGCACCAAAATGCCGAGGACAGTCTTCTTCTGTTCATGTCTTATCTTTCCCAACCAGACTCTAAAATGTAACATGGATTCTTTAAAGGCAGAAATTCCATTACCAAATTCAACACAGATTATAGCATTCCCTGAGGAAAATCATCTTTTTTTGCCCATGAGGCCTTGCACACAGTCTGATATAAAGCAGGGGACTAATGAATGTTGGTGGAAAGAAACTAAAATGAATCACCCTGAAATAGTGTTTTTTTTAAGTGTTTGACTCCACAAATTTCAGAGAATACACAGATAATCCCATTACCTTAATATTCTCTGAGTGAAGAAAATCAAACTTTAATTTATGATGACCTAAAATCCTAATGCCAGAACTAATGACAATAGGAGGAACAGTCATCAAAAATAGTGTTATCTTTTGAAAAAAGTAATATCCAAACCTGAACACCAATACACCACGTACAGAAGGGCTCCAACCAATATCTTGTCATAGTCTTCTTAACAGGACACTTAATTGTGCTTAGGAATAAGAATTGCCTCTAGGATCGGGATGGTGGCTTAGTGGTAGAGTGCTTGCCTTGTATGTATGAGGCCCTGGGTTCCATTCCTCAGCACCACATAAACAGAAAAACCCAGAAGTGGTGCTGTGGCTCAAGTGGTAGAGTGCTAGTCTTGAGCTGAAGAGCTGAGGGACAGCACCCAGGCCCAGAATTCAGGCCCCATGATGGACAAAAAAATAAAAAAATAAAATAAAATAAAATGGTCTGTAACTCAAAATCTTACTTTCTACTCAAGTTTGGGTTCAAATATAAAACAACCAACCTGAATATTTTAAGCTATTGTTTATGTGGGGCGGGGAAAGGGTAGATTTTCATTCCTTTTATAGTAATTTCCCTCCCCTTTCGAAGAGCAGATGTAGGAGAAACTCTCTTTATTAAATTTTTAAACTATTATTTTGTTCTTATGAAAGAACACAAATCCAAGTAAAAAGCTCATTCTGCCAAAACCCACCACCACAATTTCTCAAAGCTGGTAAGATTGTTTACTTGTAAAAATTATGAGTTGAATGAAAAAACTAATAGTGTATATAATGAGATACAGATCAGTGAGTGCCTAAGAAATATTTATAGAAAACATATTTTGTGGTTGTTTAATTTCCTTCAGGACAATCAATCCATTTGAGCAAATGTTAAGTAGTACCTTCTCACTTTAACAAGTCTCCTATAACCACTGCCCTAAATTTCCCTCAGTTTCCATCAAACCTCTGGAAAATTTAGTCTTAGGAGTGAAGCCTTCACTAGGCCCAGGAGACTGGTTGTTAACAAATGAATCCCAGTGAGGGAAGAGAAGGGGAGGAAGGAGAGGAGAGGGAGCCAACTGTGCAGTGTGTGGCATGTATAAGAGCTTGTTGCTCAGCTCATGCTGGTTGCTGCCTTGGAAGGCCCCAAGGTCCTCCTCTAGAGTACTTTATACACACTACCACCCAGCAGATAGGGAGTCCTTGATTCAGCCAGATCACAGGTTTGTGTGGCCCGCACATTTACATTTTAGCTTTCAGGAGTTAAGAATTTCAGGTATACAACTTCAATTTCCTCCCCTTATCCCAGAGGGTAAACTGTAGTAAGTTCTTGAGAAAATGGTGCATTCTTGCTAAGGAACAAATATGACAGAAAGAAAATGCCTCACGTTCTGAGTGAAAAATTAAGTACTAGACTGAATCTAGAGAGCATCTAGATGGACTTGCTCTTTAATAAATAAATAAGAAAACAAAAGCCCCGAGGAGTCTGTGACTGGCTCCTGGGACACACACCTGCCTACTGTCAAAGCCTGGGCTAGAACAAGTGCCTCTTTGATATGTATTAAACCACAGTTTGTTGGTTTATCTCTATTTCCTTCCAAGTCTCCTTCCTAGCTTTTCTGCTTTGGTAGTCTCAGGCAATTTTTCTTTTTTGGTATTTTGTTTCTAAATGTGATTCATTTCAGAAAAAAAGGAGGAGTATTAAACACTTTCTTTAGCTTCCTTCATGGGTTAACAAGCAAAGATATTGTCTAAAATGACTACTACCCAGTATTACAAATGCAAAAAAAAAAAAAAAAGAAAATGCCTTCCTATTCAGAAAGTATGTTTCACATTTTGCAGGTGCATCTCTTCTGTTCCTGTAGTGCAATACTATCAATCTCTACTGTTTAAACATTAACAGGATATTCAGGTATTGGCCCAAACCTACAACTTTTTGGTTAGAGATGTTCAATACCTCTGTAAAGCCTAACACAAAAAGCTGCAACTTCTTTATTAAAAAGTATCTAATTATTTTTACTGGACTCTCTTCCTCACAATCTCTTGTAAACTTTTTTTTTTCTCCAGTCATGGGGCTTGAACTCTGGGCCTGGTCACTGTTCCTCAGCCCTTCAGCTCAAGGCTAGCACTCTACCACTTGAGCCACTTCGAGTTTTCTGGTGGCTAATTGGAGAGAAGAGTCTCATGGACTTTCCTGCCCAGGCTGGTTTCAAACCACGATCCTTGATTTCAGCCTTCTGAATAGCTAGAATTACAGGCATGAGCCACCAGAGTTGGCTTCTTATAAACTATTAAACTCATATTTTTCCCAATATTTTTCCTTGCAATATCCAGCTTAAATCTATAACCATTTTGACTATGCCTACAACAATTTGTTTAAATATAATAGATGATTCATAAAGTGTCATAAATCTGGCACTGATGTAATAATAAAATTAATTACATGCATTAAGTGCTGGCCCTGAGCAGACCCTGTTGTAAGTATTTTTACTTGTATTATCTTATTTAATGTTCATCATGAGATGGGGACTTTCATTCCATTATACAGATGAGCAAAATGAGAATCAGAGGGATTATCTGCAGTAGCCAGAACTGAGCCCTGTCTGGCTGCTAACCATGACACAACCACTGCCTTTTTCATGGTATTCTCATAAGCCTCATTCAGCGTCAACATGAAATTCCAAAGCTTTCCTAATATCAACTATCACTGTTAATCTCAAAATGAGATGTGGTTAGAAAGCAAGACCTTGAAAATATTATAAATGCTCCTTATTTTCTGAAATGATACTGCTGAAAAACAAAACCAAAAGTACTTACCATAAATGTAAAGGAGGTTTAAAAGTCTCAAATGAGAAAGCCAACCTCCTTGTTGCTATGATTTCCACTATGAAGGGGAACAAGACTATATATATGGTATTCTGAGGGTGTGTGTATGTGTGTGTTTGTATGTGTGTATACTGGTCCTGGGGCATATATATGGTATGCTGAGGGTGCATGTGTATGTGTATGTATGTGTGTGTGTGTGTGTGTGTGTGTACTGGTGTGGGACATATATATGGTATGCTGAGGGTGTGTGTGTGTGTGTACCGGTCCAGGGGCATATATATGGTATGCTGAGGGTGTATGTGTGTGTGTACTGGTGTGGGACATATATATGGTATGCTGAGTGTGTGTGTGTGTGTGTGTGTGTGTGTGTACTGACACTTGGGGCTTCAACTAAAGACCTGGGAGCTGTCCCTTCACTTTTTCACTAAAGGCTGGCATTCTACCACTTGAGCCACAGCTCCATATCTGGCTTTTTGCTGGTTGCTTGAAATAAGAGTCTCGGGGACTTTTCTGCCCTAGTAGGTAGGATTACAACTACTACAATGAATCACTACACTTGGCTGCTTAAGATACTGTAAAATAGTAGCAACAAAAAACGTTCTTGCTATTGTTTCTAACGTATTTATAAGATTATTTCCTTGTTGCTTTGTATGTCCCTTCCCCCACGGTATAACCCCTATTTTCACTGTATTTGATATTGGTATAATTTGTGGAGGGGAAGGGAAAAAAGAAATTGTTTAAATAGGGATACAGGTGGACCCATTGCAACAATGAGATGTACAAGATATTATGTAGAAAAATGAACTTTACAACTTGGGTGGACGGGGGAGGGGGGAGGGGGGTTCAGGACGGGTGCGGGGATGAGGAGGCAGGGATGGGAAGGGGAAACAAAGGAGGAGGCTCCAATGCTTGATAAGAAATGTACTCATTTTCTTGCTCATGTAATTGTGACCCCTCTGTACAGTATTTTCACAATAAAAAAAACTTATTAATATAAAAAATAACTGAGGACTTGAGAAATGTAGAGCTGAAATGTAGTTTGACCAATAAAATCTGCTCCTTAGATTTTTTTTGGGGGGGAGGGGTCCGGTCGTGGGGCCTGAACTCTAGGCCTGGGCGCTGTCCCTCAGCTCTTCAGCTCAAGGCTAGCGCTCTACTACTTGAGCCACAGCACCACTTCCGGTTTTTTTCTTTTTGCTTATGTGGTGCTGAGGAATTGAACCCAGGGCCTCGAGCATGCAAGGCAAGCGCTCTACCACTGAGCCACCTTCCCAGCCCCCTCCATAGATTTTTTTAAAAGGAGGATAACATCATGCAAACATTGAGTAATTTGCCAAGGTGATATGGTTGAGTAACAGATCTTCTCATTTTTGGCTTAAGGTGCCAAAACTCTCTCAGTTTACAACTTAAGAAAATATTTATGATTTATAGCCCCAGTTCTACTTCACACCTTATCAAACTTTATACACAATGTCATTATTATAATGACAAAATCCATCCCAGTTCTAAATTTCATCTAACACTAAGCATCAGCATCTAGCTCTACTTTGGGCAAAGTGGCCTTGGGCCCCTCCAGACAGACAAGATGTGTTGTGGATGGTAATGTGGAGAAATCCAGATTAGAACTGAACAGGATTAACACCTGGTTATTAGCAATCACTACATTTATATTCAATAAAAAGGCTGTTTCCTCTGGCCCTCCTTTCTCTTCCTTGTGCATTCTGAACTTTGTGTATATGTACCTATACATACATATATATGTGTGTATGTGTGTGTGTATGTATGTATGTATGTATATATGTATAATATATATCTTCCTACAGGGACTGGCACCAACCCAATCACCAGGAATTCTCCGGTTCATGAAAATGCTTTATAGACACAACTACTAATTTAGATACCTCCATATTTTATTTTATGTATTTTATAGCACTAAAATTTTACTGTTCAATCCTTAATGACATTTTATCATCTGGTATAAATCATAAGACATAGGTCATAATAAACTGTTATCAAGACTATGAAGAATAAAATCATCAGTGATGTAGTGAGCATTTATAAGTACATAAATTAATTAAATGTAAACCTAAGCTATGAAACAAAAAAAATAAAATTACGCCAATGCTATTCATTAAACTTAGAGGCTCTTCTAAGTTTATTGAGGAGTACTGTCATGTAATACCCTTAATTAAGTAAAGATAACATAGCCCCCAAACATTACAATAGTGCCAATGAATTTTTAAAATGGTAACGCGAGCCTGCTGAATGTTGTGAAGCCATCAAGCACATAAATTGTTCATCTTGGCAACTTAAGAGTCTGTTTCTCTCACACTGAAAAATAAACAAAAAACAAGCTGCATGGGGCTGGGAAGGTAGCTTAGTGGTAGAGTGCTTGCACAGTGTGCATGAAGCCCTAGGTTTGATTCCTCAGTACCACATAAACAGAAAAAGCTGGAAATGACACTGTGGCTCAAGTGGTAGAGTGCTAGCCTTGAGCAAAAGAAGTTGAGGGACAGTGCCTAGGCCCTGAGTTTTAGCCCTACGACTGCCAAAACAAAACAAACAAACAAACAAACAAAAACCTGCTGAAGGCTAGCACCTCTACAAAGCAATATATGAAGTCTGATGTCTTCAAGTTGTAATTCTTCTTTCCTTCTTTGTTTGAAGCTATCTGCAAAGTCTGGCCATGAAATCATTATTTTATTCTGTAAGCATACCTAGTCCACTAGTGTGTTTCATATTTTCCTTCCCCCTTCAGTGTAGAAAGGGCACTACAGAACCATTTAACACATGGATGAAGTAATTATCTCCCAGTACACAGAATGTGCAATGACAATTTCCCAATGTGACATGTAATTCCACAGACATTTATTCCCTGGAAAACCCCTACAATTACCTCTACTTTAACTCTAAAAATGAAGGTATGATGTCCATTTTAAAGTTGAGCAAGGTAATGAGTTACCTCTTTATTAAAATAGAAAAAGAGCTAGGTACCAGTGGCTCATGCCTGTAATCCCAGCTATTTAGGAGGCTGGGATCTGAGGATCACAGTTCTAAGTCAGTCAGGGCAGAAAAGTCTGTGAGACTCTTCTTATCTCCAATAAACTACTCAGTAAAGTCTGAAAGTGGTACTGTGGCTAAAGTGGTAGAACACTAGCTTTGAACACAAAGAAGCTCAGTGACAGTGCCCAGGCCCAGGGTTGAAGCCCAAGGACTGAGAAAGAAAAAAAAGAAGAAAGAAAGAAAGAAAAAGAAACATCAAAATACGAGTTCTCAAAATAACTCAGTATTTCAAAGAAGTCAGGTGAGGAACAGCAATTGACAGATGGTTGGCATCAAGCAGTATATGAAAAATCTATTTAAATAGAACTCTGGCTAACAGTAAAGATATTACTGTTTATAAGTTGGAAATAACTGGATATTTTTAAATGAATTTATTTAAAATTCTTAAATCTAAATTTACATTGCCAATTTGTATAAACTAGAAAGAAAAATGCAATTGTGATTTAATACAGACTTCATTCAAATACTCAAGGTCATGCAATTACTGAAGTTTTTATTAAACTAAATTTGGTAGATTTTTAAGTTCATATTATGTCAGGATGATTCACAGAATTAGTTTGGCTTATTCAGCTGGTAAACACAGTAATAATATATACAATTTTCTTTCTGGCTACCAGCTGCCTCTTTTTTTCTTCCTTTTTGCTGTATGCTTCCTATCTCCCTCTAAGAACAGTATAGATATGAATAAAGATACTTAATCCTTTTCTCCAATTTAGACTCTTTAATATATGACATAAGACACCTTATGCCTTATATAATGGTAGAAAGTTAAGAAAGAATGCATTTTGGTCAAAACAGTTTAGCTTATTTTCCTCTGTGAAAGGCTACCAGTTGAAAAGCCTCCTCTATTTAAACATCGCCGAGAAACTGAATGTGTTTCTAATTCAAAACCTGCCTCTACCTGAAGCAGGTGAAGCTATTTGTACAACTAACCATGCATCACTATAATTTGTTTTTGAACAGAGCTCTCAATTTCTAACACAGCAGAGAAACTAAATTTGTCTTTTATTTTGGAGGGGTGAGGGGGCTGCTGCTAGGGATGGAACTCAGGCTAAATCCCAATTCCTCCTGCTTTCAGCTTTTTACTTTGTAATTTTGATATCAAACCAAATAATCAGGAGTTAAACTCTGCTGTAATATGATAGTTACATAATAAAAGTTTCCTGTTGGCATTTACAAACACCTCCCAAAATCCTCCACAGTGTTACTGTACACAAATTAAACCTCTAAATTAGAAGGTTCACTGATTACGGACATTCTTGAAAAACAATGTAGCAACCGAAGACACAACCCTTCATTTTCTTTCCCTTGGATCCTTAACTAAATGGCTCTCACTGTATATACTTTTCAATGCTCTTGATCCACACCAAGTAGGGGTTGAAAGACAGCTGATTGGTTAGACAACTGCCTTAGTTTACTGAACCTGATACAAAATAACAAGTGCAGGGAGGTTTTATTATAGTAAATGTAACCTTCAAAGCCAACTGTCAAATCAAAGCATACATTGTATGCTTTTCAACATCCAGAAACACTTAGCTCAGGCATTGTTATTTGCATGTTGCCATTTCCTGAACTGTTACATAGACATCAGACGTGAAAATACCTGTATGCAATACAGTACATTCAAAAACAGAAGCGTTTTTTTCCCTTCAAAGAAAAATCTAAGCCCAATCTGTCAAAAATTTACTTTTCTGTATTAAGAAAATAGAATTCTACAAAAGACGAGTTCTAACCATTGATTGTATACATAAATATTTACCCATCTTTAAAAGTTGTAGAGCTAGGTTATTTTTTAGTCAAACTCAATAGCAAAAGAAAAAGAACTAAGACCTCCACTAATAAATTGCACCTTGAAATATAGATGATTGCAGTGTTCCCGTGTTGATTCCAATGGTAACTGACACGCCCCGAATTTAACTGTACCAGACAGTTCTATCTGTCCCATCGCTGACCAAACACTGCTTCTCTGTTTCTATTCATTATGTATTATACGAGGTCTTTTAAATACAGCCTCGTATGATGAGGGGGGAAAAATTACAATGCTTTTAACAGCAAAGTAATGCACTCAAAAAAAAAATCTCTCTTACAGTACATCCCAGTCCAGGAGCACTAACACACCATTTTTTTTTCATCGAGATAAAATATGTTGTCTGTAAGCTCATTACTCTTATGAACCCTCAGCTGTTTCTGCAGATTGCCAGAAAAAAAACCCAGTTTAAAAATAAACAAGCGCCTTGCAAACCAAACTTGTGAAGAGTCTTGTGCAATGATCAATAACCTTGGTTACACTGCATTCGGCCCCAAATTCAGACTTGGAGACCAATGCAGTAGCAAAAAAAAAAAAAAAAAAAAAAAAAGGAAAGCCAAGGTGGAGCCCGAAGAAACTACCGCGCTTCCTTCCCCCTCGCCGCCCTCTCTGCCGCATGGAGAGGAGCGATGGGAGGAGCGGAGTCAGGCTCACCAGCTCAGCTCGGAAGATGCTCCGGTGACCTCTGGCTGCGTGGCCGCGAGCTGGGCCGGGAAGGCGCTAGTGCGGCCGCGCCGGGCCGTGCGGACTCTGCCCCTGGTGCATTCCGCGCATTCCTGCACAATCTGTCGCCAGCCGGGGAGCTGGCAGCCTCAACCTCCCCCCCCCCCCGACCCCCCCACCCAGGACACACACCTGACTCCAGCTGCGCCCCGAGCGGCCACGGTCGCCGCCGTACCTCCGCTGCCCGCGCTCGGCGCGGTCTGTCGCACTCAGCCAAACCCCCTCCCTCACCAACCTCGGCGCGGGGAAAGGCAGCGAGAGAGAGGGCCGGGCAGCCCCGGCGGGCGGGCGGGCAGGGACGCCCGATCGGCCAAGGGGTGCTGCTGCAGCTTCGCCTCAACTCAGGGAGACGAGGAAGCGGCGGCGCAGGAGGGCAGCGGGGAAGACTCGGGGCTGGGGAGCCGGGAGGGGAGGAGCGTGACGATTCGCCGCGAGGAGAGGGGCGCGCTGGACCCGCAGGCGTGAGGGGCGCCGCCGGAGGGGCAGGCGAACGCAGGGGGCGCGCCGCCGGCAGGGGCGTGGGAGGGAGAGTCCGGGGGCCAGGAGGCAGCTTCTGGGGGAGGGAGGGAAGGACGGACGACACGGCGGCCGGGACCGAGGCAGGCGGGCGCCCCGGGGTGCTGGGGGCGCGGGGCGGCGTGCCATGCGGGCGGGAGCGGGGACGCGGCTGGCAGGGGGTCCGGGCGGCAGAGCGCCGCACGGCGCTCAAGTTCGGGGTCGGGGTGTGTGTGTGTGTGTGTGTGTGTGTGGCGGCCGGGGCGTGGGGGGCGGCGGCTGGTGTTCGTGGCTGGGGAGGGGTCGTGCGCAGCGCGGAGCGGAGCCCCGGGGAGAGTCGTGGCCGGGAACAGCAAATGGAGGGTGAAACTTGTGCGCCCGCCGGGGGGAGGGGAGCGGGAGGCGAGTGCGGGCACGAACACGAGGCGGGGCAGGAGCGCGAGGCGGCCGCGAGGCCGGGGGACCGAGTAGCGGAGCGGGGGGGGGGGGGGCGGCAGCGCCCCGGGGAAGCGGGTCCCGGCGCGGGGGCGAGGGCGCGGGGGGGGGGGGCGTCGCGGGACTCCTCGCGCCCCCGGAGCCAGCCCGCACACTTACTTTCCAGGTTAAGCAGCGGCCGCCGTCGCTCCGGAGATCGGGGACATCCGCGCCGAGGGATCGCCGCTGCGGCACCCGAAAAAAATTAAAAAAGTGCCGCGGCCAAGCTGCGGCCGCCCACCCCTCCCTCCCCCACCCGCCCCCTCCCCCGGAGAGGCTCTCCCACCACCCCGGTGGCGGCGGTGGCCGACTTGCCCCTCTACCCCGTGCCCATGGTGCCGCCTCCGCGGCCGGCGTCAGTGAGGACTCAGCCCCGGAGCCCCCTCTACTGCCCAGAGGCCGCCGCCGCCGCCCGCCCAGCCACCAGCCCGCCTGCCCGGCCAGCCCCAGGCTCCCGGGAACGTCAGCACGCCGCCGTCCCCGGACAAGCTTTCCTCCAGTTCCATTGGTCGGAAAGAGAGGGCTGGCCCTCCCTATTGGCCCGGCCCTCATATTGAACGGGCCAATAGGAACCGCGGTCTCAGGTCGCCATAGAGACCGATGCTGTTAAGAGAGAGTGAGAGGGCCTGAAGAAGGTGGGAGTGAAGGCAAAGGTGCCCCTGGCCTCGGGCGCGGGGGGGGCTTTGAGCGGGGTGGGAGACACGAAGTACTAGGAAATTCCTGAGCGCTGGCTCTGGGATCTAACGTAGGCTTTGCTTCTTTTATTCCCCCCTCTTATTGTCTTTCTACTGTGCATGGTTTGTCCCTGGCATTAAAGGCTAGAGCAACTGAACCCCTAGACTTATCCTTGACAGTGAGAGCCTGCGAGAGGGGCATTCACTTTATTGCCTCTGGGAAGCCCTAAGGCTGTGCCCTTTGACCCTTGACATCTTCTTGTGCAGCTTCTTCTACAGGTGAGTTTGCACCTCATCCTTTAAATCACTGGTTTTGCCTGAGGTCATGGAGCCACTTGAGTTGTGCTTGTTCTTCCAATCCACTCCCCTTCCCTGTTCTAGATTTTGGGGTCATCAAATGTTTCCAAAAGACTCAAAGAGTATTTCCTTTGTATGATGATGATAGATGCCAAAGGGTCAACACATAACAGAGCATGTGCCCCTCCTTCCCAAACCACATCTCTCTTAACTCCTCCACTGGTAGGTATTTATTAAATACATCTGTGTATGGATTCTCACTATGAACTTGATAGGTGCATGCTCTTTTTAAGAAGTTGATAGGTGCATGCTCTTTTTAAGAAGTTACATCTAAAGAAGGATACAAGTGACAGGGCATATCCTTTATTGCCTCCTATTTGTTTTCATGAAGGAAAAAATAGATTACAGATGAGAGTTTTCTGGCTACTTCCCAAGTTATTGCTAAACTTGATAAAGAAATGAACTGAAGCATGGAGCCATTATTAAATGTGTGCTATACTTCCATTTCAATTCAGTTAGTGATAGTTTGTCAATTCTGTTTATTTTTGATCAATGACTTTTGTATTTAGATACCACCTATTGAAATGGGGCTTCGTGAATTTTCTAACCTTTGAAACACAACTGCTCCAGCATAAAGCCATTGATATTCTTCTATTCCTTGGTTAGGTGGTTTTTTTTGCCATTTTAATAATATCTACTTTAGTTTGAAAAGGAAACAAATAAGCAAACTGTTTATCTTACTACACCTCAAAGTAGAGAAACCATATTATACTGTGTGAAAAAGCTTATAGGATTTTAGAAATTACAAATATTTTGTTTTGAGGGAAACATTAATGTATGTGCAAGCTACCCATATGTCATACTATGTTCTGAATTTTAAATTGGATGACAGGCTTTGCTTTTGGTTTTTATCTCACTTTAAGGATTACAAAACATAAAGTAAGAAATCTTAGTATGGTACCATGCTTGGGAACATTTTACCCCATAATTTGTAGTAAAATTCTAGTGTATTTGATAATCCTGTACATGGTTGGTCTGTGGAACAAAACAGGAATACTATATATGAAGTATCCTCTAAATATTTTCCAAAGAAAGGACCAGCAACAAGAGCCAGGCAGTACTATCTCTTGTCTTTTCATCATAGAACTAAATTGCTTTTGACTTCTGGCTTTCTTTGATGTGTGTTGGTTTTGTTCGTGTTGTGTGTGTTGTGTGTGTGTGTGTGTGTGTGTGTGTGTATGCAAAAGATTGTTGGAATGTGGATATGTGTGTGCATACTTGAACTCAAAGCCTGGGCACTGGCCCTGAGGTTTAACACTGAACTTGAGCCACAGTTCTACTTCTGGCTTTTTGCTGATTAATTGGAGATAAGAATCTCATGTACTTCGCTGACTTCAAACTAGATCTCAACCTCCTAAGTAGCTAGGATCACAGGCCTGCCCCACCAGCACAAAGCTGTGTTTGTTTATAGGAGAATCAAGAAAAGAATAATACACTTTTAATAAGACATTTTAATATACTATCAAAATAACAGTACTACTGAATGGATGAAAAGTTTGTCTAATTAAAGAAAACATGGACATTTCCTTTTCCTTTCTTGGGCTAGCGTGGAAAGAACAACAAAAGAGCTAGCTGTTTTTCTACTATAGTGACCTTTCCATTTTGTATTTTTCTCAGAGTATCTGTTAATTAGTATTTTGATGTGCTTCATATTTATAATGTCATTTTGCATAACTTTCATGTCAGTAATTAAAATGTTACTAAAATCCAATATGGATATCTCCTAAAATCACTGTTACTCAATTTTTCTTGTATAGTGGAAAGGTTTCTTTTGAGCTTGCTTTGCTTACTAAGCCTCAGCAAGTAAGGCCAAGAAATCACTTCATTCCACTAAAAATGCTGTCCAGGTGTTTGTGTCTTCATTGATTTCCTATAATCCATCAAATTCCAATGTGACCTCAGCGGATGCAGATGTGACCTCTTCCAGGTGTGCCAGTTGCCTAGGTAACGCAGGTACTGGGTGGAGACTTTGCTGGGAGGAGGGTGGACCTTACACTGTTATTAGGGGAAGGGGGCGATTATCTAGAATACTTACCTGGGACATTGTACAGGGCATATCTGCTCTTCTCAAATCCTTACTGTACTTGAGCTCCCTTGAATTCTACAAATGATCTCACTTCATGCTTCACTGAGGGGAATCCAGCATGAGGTTCCTCAGCTTAACTTTTGTAAACCTCAGTCTTAATTATCATTCATGTTCACATCCTTGAGACCCTGGGGAGAGTCAGGGCTTCTCTAACTAAGCTCCCACTCCAGTTTGCTACTAAACATAAGAAATCCTCTCTCTACTGTGATCTTTTCTGTATGGATTATAATTCTTCTCTTATCTTATAGATCCTCTCTGAAGAGTTTGCCTAAGCCTTAATATCTAGTCTTTTATGAAACTGCTTCCTATTTATCCTGCCTTCATCTCTATCTAATGCCCTTCCCTTTCACCAAGAAACAGCACAAAAGAGATTTCCTGAGGCATTTATTTTGTCACCCCTGCTGGTTTGGCCTTTGAACAGTACTGTAATGATTCTGAAAATTGTGCTGTTTCTCCTCAAAATCCAAGTTCATTTTACCAATTAACTTTTCTCATACAAAAATACCATAGGCTTTGGAGTGGCAATGCCCCAATTCCAGGTTTCCTGTGGAGGATAGAAACCTTACTCACCGGGCTGGGAAGGTGGCTCAGTGGTAGAGTGCTTGCCTTGCATGCCTGAGGCCCTGGATTCGATTCCTCAGCACCACATAAGCAAAAAGAAAAAAAAGCCGGAAGTGGCGCTGTGGCTCAAGTGGTAGAGTGCTAGCCTTGAGCTGAAGAGCTGAGGGACAGCGCCCAGGCCCAGAGTTCAGGCCCCACGACCGGACCCCCCCCCCAAAAAAAAAAAGAAACCTTACTCACCTACCTAAAGGATTCATAGAAATGCAAATGACCTACTTGAGGGGATAAAGCTTTAAACAAGCTAGCATTAGCACTTGATGGGTCTAAGTGTTGGGAAGTTGTGCAAAGTTTGGCCCAAGGCAGGTGAAAGTGCTTGGGACAAAGTTGAAAAGATCCAACAGATTGGTTGACTCCACCTCAAGTAAACAACAGAAATCAATGAACTTTTCAATTACCAGCTCAGAAAGAAGTCAACCTGAACTCTTCAAAGATTAGGAACACTTTGTAACTTTCCAATGCTTATTGTTTTCATAGTAGCTCATAAAGGTTAGTCTTTTTAAATCAGAAAACAAGCCCTAGGGGAAAGCAGGAAAACTGTCTTTCAGTTACTACCTTATCTATGGAAGAGGTGGGACCAAGGAATACAAAAACTACAAAACTACCCTGAGGCTGATAGTTTTCATTTTTTAAAAATAGGAATGTGAAAGTATTTCTTTGGTAAAATGAGGGAAAGAGCTGTGGAGTAAAAGGCATGGGGAGAGCAGCAGCTCGGTTGAATACAAGTTAGTTCAATTTAGGTTGGCTTTAGGATTGGCTGGGCCAGCCAGCAGCTCTTTTCTGGCTAAGCAGATCTACAGACCCACCCATCTTAAAGAACTAGCTCAGTATCCTAGCCCCTTGCCTCTGCCAAGTGTGATTTCTACTGCAATGTATTTATTTCACTTGACACTCTGCCTCTTGGGGTAGCTGTGTATCAGTCCTCTTTGACAAAGCCATGACTCTAGTAGTCCTTTGGGTTTGGGGGTTTGGTGGTAGTTGTTTTGGTTTGGTTTTTTGTTTGTTTGTTTTCTTTTCTTTTTAGCCCTTGGAAGAATTTGACTTTAACAATGAAACAAATGGAGTCAGTAATGTTGGAAGGTAATTAGGAAAAGATGACATTAGACATTCAGTGTGGAAAAATGAGGTAAATCATAGTAGAGCAGAGAAGTTTTGGCTTGTTGCCTGGGTAGTGAGAAAGGCCTCTGGTCTTACTGCTATCAGATTATAGGGGAGAGTGGGAGCCTGTGTGAAAAGGACTGGCTACATGTGCTCTGGCGTGTTCATAGCCCAGGCTATAAAACTGTAGACTAGGAAAAGTAATTGAAACTCAGCTTTGCCAAGCAGTTTAAATAAGGGTTGCTTAATTCTCTTTCATGCGAAGTATTTAAGTTGCTCTGCCACTTGGAACATGGTAGGATCTCTAGAATCAAACAACTCCATAAAATCAGAAAGTTATAAAAAACATTTGGTAGGTAGGTAGGATAGACATCTGCTATATGAATTAGACATGTTTTCAGTGCCACAGAAGAAGGCAGCCCAGTGTGCATCATGACCCAACATCTTGATCATGACCTCCACCCAGTGAAATGCAGCCAGTCTATTGGCTGTCTGCTCACCCTTGACCCCCAGTGGGTGTCTTAACTAGAGAGAGGTGAGAACCCCATGTGTTATATTCTTCCAAGGCATGAATGCCTAATACTAAAAT